GATTTAAGTAGGTGTGCGTTTGGTGTTACTGTCTTTTACTGATACAATACTCAAAAACGTTTTCAGAGAACGATTAAATCTTACACAGAATAAGGCAACTGACAGATAAGATGAAGTTTTAAGGTTTTCAATTTTCTCGTTTTAAGTCAGAATTCAGAAATTTCTCTATGATCGATATATCATTATTATGACAGATACATGTACAACCAATCGTTGGGTCATACTTGACGTACATGCACACTGTACTGAGTCTCATATGCATCATATATAAAACGTGTTTTATTAGAAAGTTTTGATATTATATTGAACTTCTACAGGCAACAATTTGGACAATTAAAAAGGCTAAAATAATAAACATAGTTTCTTTTCAATTAATAGGTTGTTTTTTTAAAAAAAAATTAAATAGTCTGACCATTTGTTTTATATTGAACTTTTTAAATATGTATATCATCCATTAAACAGAACACAATAACACGTAATATTATAACATTTTAATACAAAAATCAGTTTTATTTGCACAAAGAAATTTAAAATACTTTGACACTGTAAAGACAACATGGGAGGATCCCTTATTACCCAGCTGTAGGCAAAACAGTAGGACTAGTCCCCAGCATGTCCACAGTGATATCTAGAAAAATAGAAGAAACATCACTTTTGACTTAATAAATACTATAAAAAATCTAATTAAGAATTAATATTAAAGCAACACTATATGATCCTTTATCTTTTTTTATTGCGAAGGCCAATCTATGTAAAATTAAATCAAAGGAAATGCTGTATTATTAAATAAAACCACACAAGGACAATAACCTTGTGACCTTGGCTGTGACCTATATGCTAAAAATATCTTTTTCAAACTTTGTTGCTGCCAGGCGCATAGTGTTTCACAAATATATCTTGCTTCATATGATTTCTTTGCATTCATAAAGATACATTGAGACATGCTGACAGTTTTTAAGAAGTCAAATATCTTTTTATTCTTAAAATAGTATAAAATTTTGCAGTGGTTGAACATGAATCTTGTGTTAACTTTTTAGACATGTTCATTTATACATGTAGAATGTAATAGAAGATATCAACTGAAAAAAGAATTCTATACTCAAACACATGTGTATGACACAAATTACACCACTGAATAAACTAGAAAACTGACCAGTCAGCAAGGGCCCCGCCATGGGGTAGAATTAAAAGGGTGCAGCTTACGGAATGATTAAAAAATGTACGAAGAATAAGCAACAGCAACTGTATTCTTAAAATTTCAAGATAATTCCTGAATATTCAAAAACCTGAAAATAATATATTCCTTGCACATTAGGCAGTAAAGAACAACTTAACATTGAATGTATTAAACAATTATGAAATTAAGCTTGTGTTATACAGAATGCCAGCCTTCAATGAATGCAAATATCATGAAGTCTTGACCTTAACTTCAATAAACAGCAGTTGCAGACAAAGGTTTTCATTAATCTTAAAGATAAAGAAAAGCCTACTAAATTTTCTGCAGCAGGCTAGATAATTGATCCCAAAGGATTAATTGTACCTCTCTCATCATTTTCTTCTAAAGTTACAATAAGAACTTTTTAAGTATTAATGATAGAATGGGGTTTTTATAAAACTACTTTAAAAATTAATTAACATAAAGTGAAAAAAGTAAATCAAAAAATCTTCTTTAATCTATTTCTTGTTTTTAGAATTCAATGAAATTATAACTATTAAACAAAAATAAATTATAAAAATTTATATCTAAATCCACATTTCACAGTGTTCAAAGCATTCCAAATTGACTTAACTTCAAAACAAACTTCATTTGCAGGCAGAGATGGTAATTCATCTCAATGTGACAGATAAAGATAATGCTCTGGATTTTCTTCAGGAGGAAAGCTAATTAATCCCTTGGGACTCATAGCCAGCATTCAATTTACAATGGGAACATCTTCAGCAGTTATCTCTCTTTGCCAATGCATTCTAAAGTTAAGGAATCTACCCCACCACCCCCGCTCCAAACCAAGGGACATAGAGAACCAAACTTAGCATCAAAATATGTATTTCTGCCTACTGAACTAACATACCAAATTTATACTTGATTGGGCAACCATAAAAAAAGTTGCCCATTCATTCTTATGTATAGTTAAGAAATCTACCCCACCACCCCAGCTCCAAACCAGAAGACATTGAGAACCAAACTTAGCATCAAAATATGTATTTCTGCCTACTGAACTACCATACCAAATTTGAACTTGATTGGGCAACCATAAAAAAAGTAATTAGAAAAAAACAGAAAATTTGTGGACGGAAGACAGACAGACGGACAGACGGACAGACAGAGTGATTACTATAGGGCACCCGCAAATCCTTGCGGGGCCCTAATAAATACTCACTCTTTTTCTTCAGTTCTAAACAGCCCTCTTGATTACAATCGTTGCCAAAGCAACAAGCTGAGCAGACGACAAGGCCTTGATTTTCAGCGCTGTTGACTCGTTTGTTCACGGCTCCTATGATGTGACCATTCACGTTGTTCTGCAAGGCAGCTGCGCATATCTGGAAAAAAAAAATAAAAATAAGGAGAAAGCAAAACTTTTAAATCCAAAATTACATTTTACAATAATGTGCATATTTGTTTTGTATGCTTAAATAAGAAAGTAACATTATTCAATTGTTAAATTTTATACATGTTTTTTTTTAAATGTAAGTCTAAGTAATCAATAAATATAAGAAAATGTAACATTTTGATTTCAAAAACAATCAATCTAAGTAATATACGTACATGCCTCTCCTCACAGAAGTATCTGTAAAGTACATCCCCTCCAACAATGTGAATAGCGGTGCCACAGACCTAAAGAAAGTTACATATTAAAGAAAACTTATCCCCCAGTATAGAAATATTTGAACTTATCTTTTTTGTTTTGGTACATATTTTTGTGAGATATTTTGCATTATTTTATTTTCTATATTTCATTCCATTTGCCATATAAATTTCAATACTATGTTAAAAAATAATTTTTTGCAGTTTAAATTAGAAAAATATAATATCAAGAAATGATTTGTCTGTATTCAGAAACAAATACCTGTGTATCTTGACACACTTGTCGGTTTGTGCATCCTCCCTTCGTTCTAACAAGGTCGTCACAAACTAAGCATCCAGATTTTGATACACCCTCTGGAAAAAACACACAATCCATTTATATATTTTTTTCCTGAATAGTCTCTCTCTCTCTCTCTCTCTCTTTAATTGTATGTTGGCAGCCATTAAAATTGCTCAAGATATTTTATTATCAAACAACATGAAGACATCGGAGCCTGTTTTATTTCAAGTAAGCTTTTTTCTGGAATTTTTACTAGACTTGTTACCAATCCCTTTGTATGAATTATACAATAAAATATGTTCAAAAAACTAGACTGGACGATATTACGACTTCTGTCAATAAAAATTATATTTAAAAGTTTAAGAAATTGGGAATTTTAAATTCTTATCTGATCAAATATTTTATCATCAAAAAGTATGAAAAACTGTTTGATTTGAATTTAGATTTTACTAGACTCAAGGATATTGCGACTTCTGACTATGAAAAAGGATAAAATTTGAAAGCGATTAACGTTTAGGAAATTAGAAGTGTTAACTTCTTGTCTGCCCCAAAACCTTATAAAGAAAATATATTAGAATCTTTTGCTTTCAAAATTATCAGTAGATCTGTGTGTGTGGCAAACAATAGTCAATTGGATACAAGTGTATCCATCAAATCTGGGCTTACTCTGGGGGCAATTCCGTTTGAATATCACAATTATGAATCTTATAGAGGATATTCAATGTTTTGTAGTTGAATATGGAATTTATTTCACGAGTGGGACAGGGTTTTTTGATATTTTCACGAGTGCGAAGCACGAGTGAAAATATCAAAAAATCCTGTCTCACGAGTGAAATAAATTCCATATTCAACTACAAAACATTGAATTTTCTATTTATTACATTTTTCTTTGATTTTCCCTTTTCCTCTGTCTTTTTCTCATTCATTTATAGGCTATATGACGTGTTGTGAGATTGAAAACGTCGTAAACAAGGATTTTAACAATATATTTTGGGATTTTTGGCAGTTTTATTCTATGTCAAAATGGTATATTTATTTTATAATGGACCAAGGGGTATTTTTTTTTTTTTACAACATTCTTTGTTACTGGAAGGAAAGTTGAGAGTTTTCCCGCACTTCTGATATTTGTCACACTGTGACAGGATATCATTTTGATATCCTTTCACACTGTGATAGGATATCATTTTTATTCAATGAATAAATCACAGTATTTCACTGGTAAAAATGTAATAAATTTGGATTATTATTTTTGTTGTTGCGATTGCAGAACATTTTACGCTAGTTCTAAGACACCTAGTTGATCCCACCTCTGATGTTTTGGGGGTCTGTGTTTGCTCTGCTCATATTGTGTATTATTTAATGGACCTTTGATCTTGAATACTTTTTGTTATATCCATGTTTCATTCTAAGAGGTTCTGTTGTCAAGTCTTTTGTCAGGACTTAATGCAGTTTGATTCATACTGGACAAAAGGTTGCTAAAAGAAATAAATGAGCTGTTTCTTTTTTTTCTGAGAAAAAGATTCAGGGGACTAATCTATTTGGGTTTTGTGCATGATATATCTTGATTTTCCCAAATATCTTCTTTTTATCAAATGAGCTTTTTGGTTGAATTATACCCCTTCTTCATATTGTAAAAAATGAAAGATATAGCAAAATAATAAGCTATTTAGACTTGTCAACTCTTTCTGACCAACATATGAGATTTTTTTCTGATTTGGACAATTATCTAATTAAGCAGTGTTCGCGGAAATAAAAGATGCATTTATGAATTAGAAGAGCAAAAATGTCAATAATATTTGTATACTGATGTATAACTTCCATTTTGGCAACTATTTTAGAAAGATCTTAAGGATGGGATTTTATATAATGATTTAAGTTTTCCAAAACTTAAAAATATATAATTTAATAAATGTTAGACGTACTTTCTCCACATAGATTAGCATTACAAGGTCCATGTTCAGTGGTTGGTGCGGAGTTACAACACTCGACACAGTTAGTGTAGTCACTTCGCTTCCGCCCGCTCCCTAAACTTTGCATCAGTGCACATACCTGGTAGCAGGAATCAGGATCAATTATATTTACACGTATTTTCTATGTATACATATCACACCTATTTCAAAATCACAATGACAAAAAAGGATCATAATGATTGTGTTTAGGTAAATAATGCAATTTTTGCAGAAAATATGATGTATGTGAACGCAGAGATTATCATGTTGCAAATTATTGAAAGCATTACAAGACACTTTTGTCTAGAAAAAAATATGGAAATTTAATAATATACAATGAATCAGCACATGTGAATGTAAAATATATAGTGATAGATTTTAAAGGTATAATTTTAATTTTACTTCAGAGAGAAACAAACCGATTGTGATCGACAGCCAGCAACATATGCAGTTTTAAGTTCCTGTGTTGTGATTTTCTCTAAATAGCATTCCTGTAAATAAAAATACGTAAATGAAACCAGAGGCTTTGTTTTATATGTCTGAAATTGTTCTCTGAGGATTTGTTAGAGCGTTTATAAAAACACTTTTTTCTAAAATAAATGGTTCTACATATTTCCCTAATAATTATGCACGTAAATATATAGAAGAATGAAGAAAAATTAATTGATTTCAATCAACTCGCACATTTAAGTATAGTACATTCAAAGATTTGTCTATTTTTAATTCAGTTCCAAATACATTGTAATATTTTAGATGTCATTACCAGAAGTATTTTATATTGAAGGGTTTACACAATAATACTGATAAGAAGTACGATTTTTTTACTTTGATTTTAATCAACTTAGTTTGAGAATGTACTATAAGCACTGGAATGCAATGCTTATATCTAAATGGATTTTATATTCAACAAAATATTAATTCATCTCTCTTTATTTGCGTTCTTTTACCCTTTTTACTTTAACAATCTACCCCAGTGTTAAGATTTTTCTTTATTAATAGCATTTCAATAAACAGCATTGTAACTTATATAAAACATATGAAACACAATCACTTTATTCAAGGAACTTCATATGCAGGATATTGATGGTATATGTGGACACTTTCGAATTGATATTTTGGAACCCTATTTTAATCTATCTGTCAAGATTGCTTAAAAACATTTGAATTTGAAAATCTTCCAAATAAAACGGCACAAATGTCAAACCTGATCTTACTTTAAGATTTTTTTTTTTGAAAAATCATTTCAAACAAAATAATATATGAAATCTTACCTCTGCATCTGAGCACTCAATAATGTTTGTTGAACAGTCACTGACATTCGCCGCTCTGTTGCAGTACATACATTTCTGGCCAGCTTTCGAAAGGCCAACTGACATTTAAGGGAAAAAACAGAAATGTTGAAATAAAAAAAATAAGAAATTGGTACATTATATCTTTTATTTTATTAGTTATAATCAACAGAAATTAGATCATACCATACAGCAATTATAGCAAATATGGAACTCAGTATACCAGTTAAAATCCGTGAGTTTGAGAATTGTTTCCGACTTCTCCTATTCCTCTATTACAGTGCATGTATTAGTTTTATTTTAAAATCTCTATTCTGTTTTCGTTTAACTTACCTGAACACAGGCCAATTAGTGCAATTAAGATCACTGTCTTTCCTGTAATAAAAAAACGTATTCTACATTGATATTAAATTAATTGGAATAAAATTGCTTGATTAATTAAGCATTAAAATAAAATCTTACCGATTTCAGACTTCATATTAACGTTTATCTTCAAGCTTAATTCCAGTTATAATGTTGAAGTCTTCTTTGCTAGTGTATATAAAGACCTATGTTATTGAAATTCAAGGTTTTCTTTATGAAATCAAGAGTATGTCCTATCCTCCAAGTAAATGGTATCTAAATCCCAGATAACGTTATGACGCTATCAGGGGAAATAATCCTGTACCAACAAGTCACATCATGAACAAGGACATGATAATTACTATATTACATCACAGTACCCTGGCTGTGGACTTATTTGATCATCGAGAAAGGTCACTGGTGGGTGATTAGACAATATTCCAAAAACAAAAAGGAGCTCTAAGGCCACAACACTCATCTGAGTAAACTTGACCCTGTTGTTTTTTCCAGCAATTTTGTTCATCTGCATTCTCATGTAAAATTTCGACGTTATATTTAGATTGCCTCCAAAGTGTCACGATCCAGCTAAATAAGAATACATGGTGATATGCGGAATGCATTAGAAAATTATTTGTTTCATTAAAATCTAGGGAACCTCGATTTTTCTACTGTCAAAAAGTCAAAATGCATAAATACTATGAATTCAGTCGAAGGCAACGGCCTCCAACGATCACTTGACTTTTTGAATGAATGGATAAAACTATCCGATTGACGTAACCATCTCGATTACAACGATACAGGAGCGATAAGAAAATCATTTATTCTACTGTCTTCAAATTCGAAAGCTAGAAATAGTACATGTAGATTATTTGTTATATATATGTGTCCTGTTCTAAGCTGACAAAACAGATAACAATTTGTCTTTGTAAGGTTCTTTATTTTAATTGTATTTTGGAGGAACTGGATTTAATTCTGCGAGTGAAAAACCAACTTATACCCATAGCTCCCTTTGTAAGCAGGAAATTCTTCAATTCATGTTTTTTTTTTATTGTTTTGATATTCATTACACTCCAAATGAAATTGAATTACCATACAGATACTGGATACCGAAGTTCGAGCCATCAAGACATTGCTTCCTTTAGAAAAGTTAGGGAATCTTGAAGTTTCCCAGTAATTTCCACCAGGAATGGGACTCCAGATAATTCCACCAAGTTTCCGCCACACAGAAAGTGCTACACAAGTTCCACATAGTTTCCTGAGTCAAGGAAACTTCAGGAATCAAAAGGTTTCACGAGCTTCCATGTAGTTTCCCATAAAAGAAACAAGATTCCATCAAGTTTCAATTCCACGGAAACCACTACGCTCATATTCCATATGGTTTCCTGAGTCGAGGAAACTTTAGGAATCGTGAGGTTTCCCGAGCTTCCATGTAGTTTCCCGTATAAGGAAACCTAAAGATTCCATTAAGTTTCCATTCCACGGAAACCACTACGCTCCGATTCCATGTGGTTTCCTGAGTCAAGGAAACTTTAGGAATCGTGAGGTTTCCCGAGCTTCCATGTAGTTTCCCGTAAAAGGAAACCTAAAGATTCCACCAAGTTTCCATTCCACGGAAACCCCCTACGCTCCGATTCCATCAAGTTTCCTGATTCTGGAAACCAGTGGAATCTTCAGGTTTCCCAATACGGGAAACTACATGGATGTTCGGGAAACTTCAGGTTTACAGAGGGATACCTTATGGAATCGGAGCGTAGGGGGTTTCCGTGTCACGGAAACTTGGCGGAATAACCTAGCATCCGCTACGGAAACCACTGGGAAATATGATGTAAACTTGAGGTTTCCATGTGGTTTCCATAAAGTTTCCCATGATGGGAAACCTCTTTTTTCACCCAGTGTCGACATTTAGACATATCAACTTTGTATTATCAATTATAAACAGTCATTGTATACAGGGTTATCCCCCCATGTTTCTTTCGTCCTTTCACATTTGCAAACAAGATATAACCCCGTTTTAAATTCGATCAAAACGTTTTTTTTAAATATCATACCGTTTACATTGAATTCTGATCAGTGTGAAAGGGGTAAAAAAAAACAGGGGAGAAAACTTCCATGCATACAGTATATTGAACCATATATTTTGAATTTCGCAATGTGTCAAACACATCAAATCTTTGTTTTCATATTTAAAAAGTAATAAATCTTCTCATATGTCACGCCAAGTTCATAAGAATTAGATAAACATAGTTTTAGAGTTATCGAATATAGTGCACAAACTGTAAAATATAGCTAATGATATGTTAACTATATTTTATCTGTAAAATTATATTTAACGGTCGTAAAGTGAACTTGAAGAATGCCAATCTATGTTTATCGGTTTAAAAATACATGTTAACATTATATATTTTGCTGATAAATGTTACATTAAACTAGATGTTTTACCTAATTTAAAGTAACCCTGTGAGTCTCCCAATTCTGTTTGTTGAACAAAAGAGTAAATAATTTTAATAATAGTACAAAAAGCTTTATTATTAAATAAACTCTTATCCTGCTTCTCTGAATAGTATAGAATTGAAGGAGAATCTTCTATAATTAGCAACAATGATATACCTATTTAAAAGGTAGATTTCGAGTTCTAGCGGGAGCCTCAAATTACTTGTGCGTAAAATGTGAAGAATATGAAAATGAAATGTGAAATTTAACGGAAGTAGTAAAATGTATCTATAAAAATTATAAGTAAGTGCATGTAATAGTAGAATGACAGAGTGATGTTAATGTCTAGACGGATTTGCTACTACGACACAGATACATATGTATGCGTATTATGGCATTTAATAGCTCGTATATCATTTATTTTATATGCTTTAGCTGTATCCTCTTTGTAATTGAGAAACTTGTTGAAATAGATATTTTGCCTTTACATACCAGCCCTAATTCTATGCACGACATCTGAAGACCCCTCTATATACATTTCTCTCTATTTTTTTTCTTCTAAATAAAAAGAATATTACTTTTCCGATCATTTTTTCGTTTTATTTCCAACTAGATTTGATTAAAGATAATAGAACATTTACTTTTAATGTCCACAAGAAATATGCATACATATATTTAACAACCACTGAAATAATCGTTGCGCTACATATAAAAAATATAGTTCTGTGACTAGGATAAACTGATCTATAATTAGAACAAATAGCGTTAACCATGGTTTTTATCATAAACTGTGGATTTTAGTTTCACAGAAGATTGTGCATCTCTTATACAAGATAAGGTTTTCTGTTCTTTTACTGTTTTTCTCAAACGTAAAACTATGTTTATTGCATTTTTGCGAATTCGGCGCATTAATTGTCTGCAAACTATACTTTACAAATTCTTAAACATAATTTACATTTGTTAAGTATTGTTTAGAGTTGTACACCAAAGTCAACAAATCAAGAAGATATACATGTATTCATCAGATAAATGATATTTTAGTTTACGCTTGTGAAACATAGACTATTGCGTAAACTATAGTTTACAGATGTGAAATATAAATTGTAATCCTTAACTATAGTTTATAATTACAGTCCGCAAGCATAGTTCACAGTCAATAAACCTAGATTGAATTATCAACTGTAAAACTATGATTATGGCTCACTTCTGTAAATTTGGCGTACAATATCCTCATATGTACATTTGAATTATGAGAGATTAAGATCGGTGACTGATTCGACGCTTATGCAGACTTTGATTTTAAAATCAAGTAACACAAATCCTTTCCTCTTTATGTCTTAAATCCTGATTTATATGAACAATTCACCAAATAACAATTTTTCATTTACATGAAATATTATATTTTAGTGACCCATGACCACAACCTTATACTCTAAAAGGAAAGTAAGACTTTTAATAATCAATTTTACGGTAAAAATCTAGTAATCTACTAAGAATATCATTTCATTTGAACACAACATTAATTGATTGTTTGATGTACCAAATTTTCGCCTAATTCTATAAGCCCAAACTTTGCTAAAATCAAGAGCTTTACACAAGAATAATTATAAATCACAAGAAGGATAACTCTCTTGAAGACGGCACCGTGTAATTCATGAACCGGAGTTTTGGAGTGGAGTTATGGAGTGGAGTTTGGAGTGGAGTTTGGAGTCAATTTTTGGAGTCTGAGATTTTCTTTAAACATAATTATGCAGATTTTTTTTTTCAGAAATGGCTTTTGCTTGATTGTCTTTAATATTCTAAAATAATCTATTGGCAAGATAAACCTCTAATTTAATAAATGTTTGGTACATTTGTATACATACATTGTAAGTATGTTGAACATCATTATTGAACTAATAACCACCTAAATCAAAATTAATTGATAACTTCCTACAACTATTAACCTAAATAAAACTGATTGGTAATGTGGTCAGAGAGCTAATAATTCTAACAAACCAATGTAATTTAAAATATTATAGAACAACAAAGTCACCTAGGGGTCCTGTCACCGCATGTCAGTAAAAAAAATAAGTCAATTAAAACAAGGTAATTTTTTCAGTTAATTATACCCCTCTTAGAAACCAGGAGGAATGGGATCTCTGTCCA